GATACGAGATAGCTTATCAAGTCCAGTATTTCATGTATGTAATGTACCATTTAATGTTAACTAGTCTTAATTTATTCAATTTGTATCTATTTTCGAGCTCAAGTATTGTTCTAGAAAGTATGGTGAAAACAAATAATTTTATACTCTTTTCTCAAAAAGACTTTAAGTTTTATGTTCCTTATAGCATGTTATAGCAATTCCTTATAGCAATATGCATATTAATTGAAAATTCTCTTTGGGAGAGAGCTTACTGAGATTGCTAGAACTGAGCTTCTATCCAAACACTCTTAAGTTTCTGTGAGATTTCTGATTTCCATTATTGGACCTATTAATTCATGTGCATGTTTTCTATTCTAGCTTTTTTGTGTTCTAGATTTAGTTCACTTTACCTAGTTTCTGAACATTAAGTTTTATTGTTTGTACTTAATGCATCTTCATTTAGAATCATCAGCCATAAACTTTCTGCAGAAAACGAGATCTGATTCTTAAATGATTATTGATGACTCTAAATAGCAACGTATAGAACAGAAAGCACACATCATGGGGTTCTAATAATAAGGAATACTGAGTTTAGCAGACGGCTTATTTCAAGTAGTAATGCAACCAAATTCAGCAATTGAAACCTTTAAAATGCTTTTATGTATTGCATTTGTTTTGTTATTTTAAAAAGACTCTTAACTATTTTCCTCATTGAAGTTCCAGTCAAATGAGATGATGCTGTCAGGAACAGTCGTAGGTATTGTGACCATCTCTTGTGTCTGAACCTAGTACTTCTAGCAAATCTTAACTGTTCTTGAAAGTGGGAGATTGAAGAAATGTGATGTGTGTCCATTATTAATAGCAATTTTTTTTTTAAGTTGCTTAAATAAGTGGTGAAATGTGGCATTGAAGAAAAGTGGAATCATGTACATTTTGCGTTTCATAGCTCATTGAAGTAAGCTAATGAAATAGGGTGAAGCACTCATGAAAAAACTTTGAAATTTCCTCTTTTGTATTGGGAGAGAGATTGAGTTTTCTTTTACTTTCTCACACTTACAGATAGTTAGTATAACCAAGGTATGAATAAGGTCTTACGTTACTTAATGAAAAAAAGATGTAGTAGGCACAAACAGCAGAGCACTTTTTTCACAGCTCTCCTGTTCTTTGTTTTATGCCTTTCGTATAGAAAGTTTGGGGAATATAATAATGGCTGAACTGAAACAGTAATACTGTGTACCTACTTTGAAGAGATTAACTTTTAAAAACCATTTTGCAGCTAGTGATACAGAAAAATATTGATTCCTGAATAATTTGTTTCTTTTAGTGTTTCAGTCATCTGGACTTGCTGTTCTTCAGACTGCAGATTAATTCTTTTTCTAGAGCTGACTTATGCAAGATACAAGATTTCTTCTTAAACATACTTTCCCCAGATTTTAGCTACTCTTCCTTTTTTTTAATCATACTGTATTTTCAAAATGCAGTGAAAAATCTTTCCACAGTATCCAGTTCTTGTCGTCCTCTGTAATACTATCTTTTTTTACTTAACTTGACAGTTAATACTACTGCCTCAAAAAGTCAAAGATGACACTAGCAGTCTTGCTGTATGTTTTGAAATACAAGGGATCTGATGCTTCTCTTTTCTGTTGTAGGGATGAAACTTGGCAAAATAATGTAATACGCAAAGCTTTTTATTAATTTCTGCTGAGGGCTAAGAATTGCATGAGGGAAATGGATACTCATACTCAGCTGGTAATGCTAGGTTATTTGTGGAGTCAAGAATCAAATGGAAAGTTGTAAGCCCTCTGTGTGTGTTTGAGAAGGATGCTGATATAACAATGTTCAGAAGTTTTTACTGTTCTGCTTGAGAGAGGCCTTGAATTGATGTAACGGGGCTCTTAATCAAAAGTTGAAAGATTCTCTTGGATGGGGAAGTTCCTATCCCCCCCCCCCTTTCTTCGAAGAAGGAATTTTAGCTACTTCTAAGCATGATGGTGTGGGATTTTATAGATCTTAAGCTTTTTGCATATGTGTGGATATGTATATGTTTATGGGGGGGGGGTTGTGTTGTTTACCCCCCCTTCCCCCAATGTATATACAGCATCTGCTTCCAAAGTCATAGTTATGAGGCTTTTTTCCCCGAACCATACAGGTAGGAAACCTCCTTCAAAAAGAGTGACACTAATGTAGAAATAATCTGCCCCTGTCACTCTGTGGGGGATTTACACTTCCCCCCCAGTCCCAGCTTAATGGATATGTGAAATCTTTTTACTTGTCCTTGACACGTATAAGTGAAAGAGGCATAAGGAGTAGAACTTCAAATGTAGATGATTATTATTATTATTATTGGTACACGTACTAAAGAGCAAAGTCATGTGAAGAACCTTAACATAATAGCTAGGCTTCCATGTCAGTGAAAATTAATTTCCATGTTGTCCACTAGATTCTTTTTTTTAAGTGCTGACTTCTGATAAATTCAGGGTTTTTTTCCCAACTTGCAAGTGACCACAATTCAGTCGTCATTTTGAGATGAGTTTTTATTGTTGAGAAACTCTAATCTGTCAAAAGTGCCAAATGTAGCATAATTCAACAATTGGAGGCAGACTCTCCACTCTTATTTTTGGCAGACAAGTCAAATAAGAGTTACTGCCCTTCTACATAAAGCCTGTTGTAATATTCACTATTTACTGGCATACTGATTCTGCAATCTCTTTAAATTCTCATGCTTTCAAGAAAAGTAACTTCCCTAAAAAGTAAAAATAAGGTGGCTTAGATAACTTTCTTGTCCTGAAGAAGTCACAGAGAAATTTAAATCCTTGCTGAATATGCAGTTTGGGAACTATGTTCTCTAAACAATGAATAAAGTTAATTTAAATGCTGCTCTGTATTCTTTTGTTCAAGATACTTTACTAGGGTATTGTTATATAATTAGGTTTTAAAAAGGAAAAAAAAAATCCCCTCTCTCAAGTCAAAATCCAGGAAAACTCATTTTCTTGTTAGCGTCAGTATTAACTACTTTGATTTCTAATTTTGACATTGCATCATTAATAAAGCCTTCTATCTTTTCATTCTGGATGGTGATACTAACTAGAATAATACTGGTTCCAATAGCATTGGAACAAATACATCTTTGGATATTAACCAGAAATTCCACTTTCGAAGCCATTTTGTCTTTATATTAAGACAAAACTGTGCAACTATCTCTCCACCCCTCCCCATGCACGCAACATAAAAATATTTATTTAGAAAAATTGCATAATTGCAAAGGGAAAACTTATTCTACTCAGTTCCTGTCTCAATCATAGTGGTCCCCCCTCCCACCAATGATGGATATATGACTTAGGGAATTTTATATTATTACTACCGATGTTATAGGAAGGTGATTTGATTATTGAGTGATAGGCTTACTAGTTATGTGTAATTTTGCCTAACTTTCAGCAAAGATCACAAATTTACTATGCTGGAGGCATAGTATTTGCCTATACTACACATTTCTAACATACTCAGCGATATTGTATGCTAGGAATGTATTAAGACCATTCCTGTGTAACTCGCATTGCTAAAAAACAAGATGTGTAGTTGGTAGATCTAGTAATTGATCAGAGATGATGTTGTTTTTCTGCTTTTTGTCATTTGCCACCTTTGCCATTAAAAATTGCTTGTCTCGTATTCAA